GGGGAGGGATTTGGCACAAGGGCTATATATTAGCTTCAGACATATTTCACTGTGAGCAAATTTTTTTCCAAGTTAGTAACAGGTACATGTAACTATAAAATACCTTAAGAACCCATAGGATAACAAGTAAATACATTTCACTAGAATTGAGTCTGGGAAATCATTTATTTCCAAAATTAAACTGACTATTGTGAAGAGTATACTTACAGAGTTTGTAGAAACATTCACTATTTTAATGATGGCATATACAGCTCCACCCAGTAACGATGTCACCAGTAAATTGGTGAAAAATCTCAAAGTATACAGGCGACATTTATCACCAGTTGTTCGATTTTGAACTTTCACAAGTCTTTCCTCTTCAGCTAATTCTGCCTGTAAAGAATGGAGGCAAAATACAGAGAATAAATTAACAGCAAATAAACACAACTCACAAGCAAATAGGTCCACAGTAAGATCCAGGTTCTTATATCACCTCTAAAGCAGAGAGGTAACAAATTGAGGAAAAAGAGGACAAAGACTCTGATAACACGAAGAAGACAGATGATTTGGCAGTTATGCTAAGTGGGCGTTTGGAAAATTGCCAAAAGAACTGAGCTCCAGGCAGTACAACACAGGATAAATAAGAAAAGGGTCTAACAGTCATCTTGTCATCTTGAAAAGTTAGAAATAGTATGCTTGTAAGTCTCTTTATAAGAACAAAATAATCAGTTTTCCTTTTGGATTTCCACAAAGTCATATGGTACATTCGATTTCACATCTGTGGCAAAATTCATCTTTGAAGTTTTCCAGTTTGATAGCAAAGATCAGGACTCTTAACTTCTAAAAGCCTTATAACAAGCACATACATGTACCTTGACAATTTGTACTATGCTCTGACTCTTGATCTTAGCAGTGTTTTCATCACTAATGCAGTAATCCCATGCGGCAAACACTTTGTTGCAGAAGGAGGAGGTAGTTCCACCACCTTCAATGTAGCTTTGCTGGAAACTTTTAGCTAAACTAAAGAAACAAAACATGTGTGATGAATGATCATGCATATTATCGTGCATTATCAAATACCCCTATCACCTCAGGGATAGAATAATTATAACTGTGTATATAGGTTGATGATCTTTGCATTAAATTCAGTTCTTTGGTTTCTGCTTAATTCAATGTAGTCTTCCATTGTCATAGCACTCATTACAACATGCACATCATGTATACATTATCTTACACTGGGCATCCTATTTTACATCAGCTGAAGGCATTACCTCTTGTGCTTCTAGGAATAGCTAATTGAAAGCACAATCCCACAAACACCAAGGTAATGAAAATAAAATAAATATCAAGTAGGGTAATTAGCTTGATTCAACACTTCATTCTCAGAGTTACATTTACTTATAATCTAATGAGCGTATTGCATGCAGATTGGAGAAGTGATATTTGGAGGTTAAAAATTGAAGGGATAAGACTACATGCATATGTTATAATTGGCTACTCTAGGAATCACTAACATCTGAAGTATCTCTATGCTTACTAAAATTTTCTGCAGGAATTATACAATGGAGTGAATTAAATTCATTACACGACTCAGGCAGTCAGAGGGCCAATAACTAAAATCAACCAATCAAAATGCTCTATTGCCAGTAAATATTCTCTCAGTATTGGACCGGGCACTGTCCCGAATGGTCCCGAATGATACCGCACTTGTGTCCCTTTGAACTTCAGTCGTATAATAAATCTCTTATTAACCAAGCTTGCTCGGGACCATACTGGAAGAATATCTGCCCTCAGTCTTTTTTGTATGGTGCTTGGTCCATACTGTCAAGACCTCTGCCCAATATTCTCTCAGTACAGCCCTCGCGCTTGGTTAATATGATATATATATATTTTATGTAAACTTGCTATTTCTATCCACTCTACTCCTGCTCTCTACTGGCTTGTGGCTAACAGAGACCATAGAATGCTTCAATAATCAACAATTAGATTGCATTTTAGAATTTTAGCTAAAATTGCACTGCTTACTTCCGAACCATAAGAAGAAGGCTACCAAAAAAATAGGCACCTCCAACCAGAAGGTAAGCCAGAGGGAGGTCATACTTGACATCATCCTCTGATAACAACTCAGCAGCCGGGTATCCAGCATAAAACATGAGGGTTGTGTTTATCCAGCCCTACGGAAAACAATAACATGTTCAATCAAACAACCTTTGACCCTAAACTCCCACAAGTGACCAAGTCAGAATTTCTCCTTCTAATATATATCAAACAGATGAGAAATGAGAAAAAAAAAACTAGAAATTAGGGGATTACTGGTCAATTCAATACTAAATTTTCTGAACCAACAATTAGAATTGTATTGCAGCCAATAGAAAAATTACTTAAGAGATCTTAGGAGTAAAAGTGTTTCGTAAATTTAGTTTACAATCAGTAGTGGTCAGCACCAAGTCAGGTTGAAGTTCAAGTCCTAGGCAGCTGGTAACTGACTGTTGTGCATCTCTTTAGCTTTCCAAGTATTACATTAACAATGATCTGTGATGTAAACTTAATGAATTGCTTGTGAGTTATCTGAGAAAAGCTGGCACCCCATCCAAGAGAAGTACCTGAACTCTAAATCTTTTCAAAACATGCTTACAAGTAAGGTAACTTTCAATGCAGAAAAGGTACTGGCAGCAGAAATTGGCTTAAAGACTCAAGGTGTTTCCAAAAAAAAATGAGAAATGCCTTAAAAACCAACATGCATGAAAAGCTGCATCAAAATGAAACAAGTCCCCTATAATAACTCTAATTTGAAATTTTGACTCATTTTCCAAATTTAAGCAGGCATTTTTACACAGTAGCTCTCATTCCAGATTTGCATGCACAGTTTAGTTGGACAGCAGTTTCCTTGAATAGCATATGTGAAAGTGAGGCTCTTAGGTGAAGCACCTCTGAAGATTACTAGAAGAAGTATATGTAAAAGTTAAGACATAGTGAAAGTTTAGGTAAAACATCATAGTTAGACACTGTAAAGCCTTTGGTTGTACAAGCTGAAGTTTCCGCTATCAAACAAAGATCATCTCCAGAAGTGGCTGGTAAAAATCCAAAGAGAAAACACTTCTTTAATCCAAAAATCATTTTTATGTGGCAAACATTTTGAGCCTGAATGCTTTGTGAAGTCTCAAGGAGGACAGTGAATGCAACTAAAACCAGAAGCTATCAGGCAGGCATTCACAAGGAAAGTGGGTTTTATCAGTAATCAATTTTTCGCACATGACCATGTCTAAATAAGGAAAATGCTTTATTGTTTACATTCTTACAATCTTCAATTTTTTTGTCATCTTGAGCTTTTCTTTCTATGAAATAGCAGACAAAATTTTGCCTGCTACAAACAGGGAGGTCACCTCCCCCATTTACCAGTGAGGATCATTCTGGACAATCAGGAAGATCAGTGCTTGTAACAGCTGCAGTGGTAGCAGTTGTTTTGTTCACTCTGTTCATTTGTTTACATGCCAAGCTAAGTGCTGCCACTTTTCGCCAAAATCGTCTTCTCATTTGTTTGCAATGTTGCTGATAACCCTGTTTAAAAGAAATGGTACATAGACATGAAGATTTTGAAATAGTTTTTTATCAGGGTACAAATACCAAAATTTAAAAAAACATCATGAACTCACCTTTGAGCTAGTAAGGGTTTCAACGCTGTTGATCAAGCACTTCCAACTTTGGCAGTTCCTTTCTGATATGAAAGCCATTCCTTCAGCCTTTCTTTGGTAAAGTCACTTAAAAATTACTGCTTAATATTTTCACTTTCTCTTCGGCTAATAAAAATGCTGATTTTGGAAATAATTTAACATTTCTGATGCCCACGCTTTTAACTGACTTTGCAAGTCTTGTAATCTCAGGGAAGCTTGATCCAATAGCCTTGCTCTCACGAACACTAATATAGGGAACCTCTGTCCAACTAAACCACACGCGCAGAAATGGAATAAGAGCTACTTTAATTTGTGAATACCACCACCTTATGTCAAGAATGCCTGACAATTCTTACCTGTCCTGTCACAAAGTCCAGAACTTTGTTTGCCACACCATTTGAAACACTCTGTGCCTCAAGTGCAGTAATGTCACATGAACTTGTATTCACTTGTGTAGCACTATTCTTAATGATTACTGCTGGCAGTGAAATTAGACCAAACTCCAGTAAAAAGATGATCAAGTTCAAAAACAGTAACCACTTCAAGAAAAGAAAAAAGGACAAAACTCCATTTCCAAAACGACCTGAGAAAGAAAAAGTGTAACAAACACTGTATTAAGGTTAAACACTTGGTTGCAATCAGTCAGCTTACTAGAAATGATAGCCATGCAAGGAGTAAGAGTTTGTCTAGAGAAAGAAGTTCGTCCCCTTAAACCCCATCTCCTCTGTAATTTTCCCTTGCACACACCAGTAATTAATATCCTAAAAGATGTATATCAGTTTGGCTAAAGAGGCTATTCTATTCTTCACATCCAAGCCAGTTTACTGGTAGTAACATTAAATACAAAATAATCCAAAAACTGCTTGTCGTAACAACATCAGTCACTGTGAAACAAAAATGAGATGAGAATTTCAAACTCAATCATGTAATCATCACAGATACAGTCTTGATATAAACCCCAAATTTTTGTCAATAATGCTGTATATGAAAATAAATGGCAGCTTTGAGAAGGAATTATCTCAGGAGTTTAAGAGATGAGAAAATGAAAAAACATCATTCGCTTTCTATGAGACCTTTTCACCATATTAACAATGTTTAAGACGATAAATTGCAAGTTGTGCAAATGCTGTAAAAAGGATATACTCTTTCTGTTAGTAATAAAAAGAACTTATTCAAAAAATATTGCATATCTTTCGAATAAGGTGATTAATATCATAGGTGACAAATTACTCCTTAATTTTGTCACGAAATTTCAGCGTTAATTTTTAATTTCACATGTGAAAGTACAAAATTGCCATCATGGTAACATCTCTTGTACCTCGATCAGAGCCAAGATGGCGCCGAGATTTAAGACGGTGACCCTTCAAGAAGTTACGAAATTAAAAGAAACCGCCGAAAATTGTTAACTGGCACGAAGAATTCGAAAGGTATTTTTTGTGAAGAAATTCAGAAAATTACAAACTTTAACTATAATGTATGCTTTAAACGAAAACTATATTCTCCATGTTCTTGGTTTTCGATAGAATAAACCAGTAAAAAGAATTACGGTTGTGAACGTAATTTGTCACCCACGATATTAAAAGGTAATCAAATGGTTTTCTCGTGAAATTAGGAAATAATTTCACTTGTGTTTTGTCAAAATTCTGATAATTTCCATCGCCTAAAGGCTCAGGAAATTATCAGAATTTTGACAAAATGTGCATGAAATTATTTCCTAATCTCACTCGTCGCCAGTTGATTACACCTACTTATTTTGCTCTCACCCTCCACTTCCTTTAAATGGCCTTTCCATAATTCAATATCTTGACTCCATTCAGAGACTGAAGATGTTGTTGACTGCCAGTACTTTAGACAATAACAATGGTTGGTTTACAAATTTCATCAACTTAATACAATCATAGTAAGGTGTTACTGTTATGATCAGGAATTAAACTAGCTTTTTTTAAAATTTCTTTATTCACCAAAGCATTCACAGAGCTGTGTCACGCCAGAAAATATTCCAAAAAGCTTGTCACAAGATAGAATTCTGGATGGAATATTAAAATATAGTGATGGGCAAGGGGGACAAGAGCAAAAATAAAATTTTTCTTAATCAAATTTTCTTAAAAAAAAAAAAAAAAATGTAATCATGCATTAGTTATAAAAATTAAAGGCTATGCATAGACAGAAAAGAATATCCCTAGATGTGTAAAAAATTCTTGTATCTCCGAAAAGTCCCCCCCAACCCTTTTTTGAATGTAATTTGGTTATATCAACTAAGTTGAAATTGTAAATTGGCCACTGTCAAGGGTTAAAAAGCTGACATTTCGAGCGTTAACACTTTGTTGGAGCAAAGCTTTTTAACTCTTTACAGGGGCCCATTTACAATTTCAACTTAGTTGATATAACCAAATTACCTTGTTACCCCCACGGATATAGCACCACAGTTTCTTTACAAACTGACCCCCTTTATTCATACCCTTTTTGAATGGTCCAATTCCACTGAGTAGATCAGACGTATTAACAATATCTTTTTTTCATTTTTAACTAACCATTGCAACTCGCAACTTGAATGCTTTCCATCTTGAGATCCGTTTTTGAGCCTTCATATTTCGCATTGATCTCCTGATGACACAAGAAACAAACATATTTGTAACAATTATCTGTATCATCTTCACATGTAACAATTGTGAAATAGCAAACAGGACACCTAAAATTGGTCTGAACTGGCAAGTCAGATTTACTATTTAAAAAGAGATTTAGGATGTCAAGGTGTAGTTAGGAAATAAGGCTGCCAGCTGAAATTTCAAGTGAGGTGGCTCAAAGCTGGAAAACAATAATGAGGGTCCCCTATACTTTTTACATGAAGGGTGATTTGGTAAAATACTGCGTGTGTCAACCAACATAGCACAATTATCACACCATTTGAAAGAACTAGACGTTGAAGCTAGATGAAGCTAGAAGGTATATAGTGTTGCAGAATATTTATCTCACATTAATAGAACATACTGCTACACACATTGTTATAATGTTAACTAAGCAGTTTGACCATATTACTCATATCATGTTTAAACTTCACTGGCTACTGTCGAACTATCCCATACATTTTAAAATATTGCTTTTAGTGTACAAGTGCCTCAATGGCTTGGCACCAACTTATCTATCTGAACTTTTACATTACCATAGTAGTCCACATTTACTTTGTTCTAGTTCTCAGAATCTTTTAGCTGTGCCTAGATCCAAGTTAAAGATGTAGGGTGATAGACGTTTTTCTATAGTTGTTCCTGGGATATGGAATCAATTCCCTCTTGAACTCAGGAGTGTTACCTCTGTTTTTCAGTTCAAGACACAATTGAAGACATACTTATTTAAATTGGCTTACTATGTCTAGTTTTAGTGGTTTAGTTTAGTTAATTTCATTATAATTATCAATTATTCCACGAGCGTGCGTTGGATATGAGATGACAGATAGCCAACTCGGCACTATGCACCTCATTGGCTATAATCATCTCATATCC